TTGCCGAGTTGAGCAAGAAGCGGCCGGGCTCGAAGATGGTCGAGACTGCATGGGCGGTCTTTGAAGAAAGGTTGAAGTCCCAGCAGCACCTGGATTGCCAGGATTACCTGAAGCTGATGGAAGGAGTCGAAGGCCTCGAGATGGGGGAGAGCTTGAGGCAGAAGATTCTTTCCTCCATCGATGCTTTGGGTTCTGTTGGTACTGGCACGGGGAAGATGATCGTCGGCTCCCAAACGATTTCCAACATCACCCCATACCTGACCCAGAAAGACTGGGAGGTGCTTGCCAACACAACCTACATCATGGATGTCTTCAGAGTCGTCGCAGCTCGCATGAGAGCCCTTGGTATGCTGTCCTTGAAGGAAACGACGAAAGGGGTGGCTGCAGCCCTAGCCCTTTGGTGGCTTGAAACCAAAAAGCAACCCTTGCCAACCCCTGTCGTGATCCACTACGAGTGGCTGCCGGACTTTCAGAAGCTCTTCTCGTCCATTGAAGTCAATTTGACTGTCAAAGGTTGCAAGTCCTACCCATCCAACCCGAAGCAGCTCGGCGATGAGTGGCTGAAATCAGCATATGGAGACGAAGCACCGGCTCTGCAACACATCGGACTCCAGGTCTACTATGACAAGGTTCCCCTGCGAAAGACATCGCACCTTCTGAAGGGCTACGACTTGCCAGCGAAGCCTCACCGGAAGGAGGAGCCATGTGCACAGCCTGATGCCAGTTCTGCAGGATTTGCCATGATGTTGGGGAAATTCCTTTCCACCTGGGCTCCTGACATCAATCTCCAGATGTTGAAGCAGCCAGGTGCAGCTTCCAGCCAGGCAGCAGCACCTGCGACCCAAGCCCTTCAGGCTGCTCAGCCAGCACTCCAAGCCGCTTTGCCTTCTTTGCCAAGTTTGCCAGCTTTCCCAGCTGCTCCTTCTTCGGCTCTGCCTTTGGAGTCCAAGCCTTCTTCGGCTGTGCCTGTGGAGCCCAAGCCTCCTGCATCCTTGCCAGTTCCGATGGAGCTCGTGCCTCAGCCAGAGTCGTCCCCGGTGACTGAGCAGGAGCAGGATGCATTGGAAAGCTTTGAAGAAGCCGCATTCGACAAGCTGAAGGCGAGGACGAATCCCAAAAAGGCAGTTGCAAAGGAGCAGCCGGCCAAGACGGGCAAGGCAAAGAGCAAAGTGGCTCCCCCGGCAGCAAAAGCGCCGAGCAAGGCCGTGCTCAAGAGGCCAGCCGCCAAAAGGCCAGCAGGCCTGCCGGAGGTGCTGGGGTGCTTTCGCTGCAGGGGAAATCCTCTCGGATGCGACTCCTGCAAGGATCCATCCTTCGGTGGTCGCCGATTCCAAGGTCGTGCTGACTATCTTCGGTACGTCGCAGAGCAGAAGGCTCGCCATGGGAAGATCTACAAGTGATCCGAGGATCACCGGTGTATAGGGGTTTCCTGGGGTTGAGATGCATTGAAAGATGCATTTGCACATGAGGCTGTTTCAGGGGTTGAGATGCATTGAAAGATGCATTTGCACATGAGCCAGAGGTGTCACCACGACTGGCATGGGGTAAGCAAGAAGGACAAAAAGACATTGCACTGCAGCAGCCTTGCATGCCATGCATGTTTATTTTTCGTTCTTGATGTTCACTGCAAGCCATCATGGCTGTACGAATAAGCAACCTTACAAGCCAACATGGCTTTGCTGTTTCGAAGGCTCC